AATCTTTGTAAAATCTTAAAATTCATTTATACTTAGTTTATTATATCGAAACATAAAAATATTTTCAACAGATTGGTCTGAGGAAAATTTTGAATTTAGAGGGTAGTGCTCAAGCCCATTCTGAAAATAATAGTGAGCTCAATTCGCCCAGGTTAAAATTAATACCAGCTAGGCCGGTTATCAATTTACAGATTATAGGGTATTGGGAAAAACATGAAAGGTAGAGCATATTCATTATGTGATTTGAATTGTGTGGAAAAGACGAGAGTTATTGGAGGAAAAGAATTTGGTAATGTAGTTGTTACAAGTTTCTCGACAGACAAAGTACTGGAAAAGGCTTCTTCACGTTCAAAGTGCAATGTATATGTTAGAGTGAATGTAAGGGGCAGTTGTAAGGATAAGAAGTTTGAGAAAGTACATAGAAGGACAGAGGGAGTTAGAGACAAATGCCAATCGGAAATGGGTGATAGGACGTGCCTAATACTAGAAGATGATGAAGAAATTAATGCTACTTGGGAGGTGGGAAATCTCTTAGGTATATCTTTTATGGGGGGAAATGCGGTGGTGAAAAAATTAGCTCAAATGGGTAAAAGGTTTGGGGAGGAGAGAGGTCGTTAGATGCTTCATCCTATAAGGGTTGTATTTATATTAATGTTAAAGTTTTCTTGTTTATCTTGGAATGTGAGGGGTTTAGGGAGAAAGAAGAAGGTGGGGGCGGTTAGGAGAAAGATCAAAGAAAAGAAACCGTTAGTGATATTCTTGCAGGAAACAAAAGTGCAAATGATGAAACATTCGTTGTTGAGAAGTGTGGGTGAGAGTTTTTTACAAGGCTGTGTGGTTGCTCATTCAGTGGGGACTGTAGAGGGTTATTTACTCTTTGAGATGAAGAGAAGATTGATGTCTTGGATTAGGTTGTGAATAGGAGATTTGTTGTTGTTTTATGAAAATTTAAAGATGTTGATTTTAAATGATGGTATGTTAATGTCTATGGTCCTACAATTGAAGCGGAAAGGGAAAGTTTCTTTCGTGAGTTGTTATAATTTGTAGAACAAGCTGCTGGACCTATTTGTGTAGGAGGAGATTTCAATTCTTATTTGATCCCGGAAGAGAAACTTGGGAAGACTCAAAATTTACATTCAATGAAAGTGTTTTTGGATTTTATTAAATTGTCGAATATGATAGATCTTCCATTGAGTGGTGGTACTTTCACTTGGGGAAATAATAGAGAGGATCAATCGGTTGTGATGTTAGATAGATTTCTGGTGGATTCAGTGTTTTTAAATTTGTTTCCGATAATTTCTCAATTATTTCTTCCTCGTTTTGTTTCTGATCATAATCATGTTTTGCTGGAAAATAAGTTATTTGATTGGGGTTCTCGACCGTTTAAGTTATTTAATTATATGTTGGAGGATGTAAGTTTTCAGGAAATTATAAAAGTAAAGTTTGGGGAGCTGAAAATAAGGAAGAGACGCAGAGAACTATCTTGGTTACTGAAATAGGTTAAGATGGCTGTTAAAGCATGGTCTGGAAGTAATCATTGTGGTCTTTCAAAAGAAATACCAGAGCTGGAAAATTCCATACATGAGATGGAATTGGCAAGGCATCAAAGGAAATTGATGGACTTTGATCAGATCATAAAAACAAAGAATGATTTATATAAGTTATATCAAAAGGAATAACAGAGTTGGCATAAAAAATCGAGGTGTAAATGGTTTTTGGAAGGAGACCGTAATTCTTGGTTCTTTCATCAATGAGCATAAAAAAAGGGAAGGGTGAATTCCATTTTCTCGTTAAAGATCAAAGGGGATGAGTGTTTGAATCCTGAAGTCATTAGAGCCATAATTTATCACCATTTTAAAGAGGCTTTTAACTCAATAAATACCTTAGAGGTAGTTGAGATAAAGGTAGTGTTTGCAAACTTGGGTACAAATATGGCTCAGAGGTTGGAAGTAGAATTTACAAAGGAAGAGATATGGGGTATTGTGGCAGATTCAGATCTAAATAAAGCTCTAGGGACAAATGGGGTCAATTTGGGTTTCTTCAAAAAGTTTTGGACCTATATTAAGGCAGATGTAATGAGGTTTTGCAGGGATTTCTTTGCTGGAAAACTATGGAAGAGAGGTATTAATCACTCTTTTATTACGTTGATTCCGAAGAAAGTAGGTCCATATTGCATTGATGATTTTCATCCTAATAGTCTTGTTGGGGGTCTTTATAAAATCATTTCGAAGACGTTAGCTAGAAGACTTAGAGGGTGTATAGAGTATTTAATTGTGTTTTCACAATTTGCCGTTATCCCGGGTAGACAAATTTTAGTTTGTTATTTTATGGCAAATTAAGGGATTGAATATTGGAGGAGAAAAGGGCTAGCCGATGTTACTTTTAAAGTTGATTTTAGGAAAGCGTATGATTCGGTTGACTGGTCTTTGTTTATAAAGGTTATTGAGCTAATGGGGTTTGCTAAAAATGGATTTCATGGATTCGGAAATGTATTTAATCGGCTTCGGTTTCTGTTTTAGTAAACGGTTCTCCAACGAAGGAATTTAAAATATCTAAAGGTCTTCGACAAGGGTGTTCCCTATCAACTATTGTTGCTTAACTTGGTGGGAGAGCTTCTTAGCCAATTGTTGTCAAAAGCTGTAAATTTAGGGTTGTTTGATGGCTTTACCATAGAGAAACAAGGTCAGGCTTTTAATATGTCCCATTTACAATTTGATGACGACCTTTTAATTTTTTGCGGGGCTTCGAATAATCAATTAAAGAATGTTATGAGGGTATTGTTGATTTTTGAATTATTATCGGGTCTTGAGATAAATTTGGTCAAGAGTAAGATTTATGGAATTAATGTGGATGAGGGGGTGTTAAAAGAATGGGCAGATTCTATTGGTTGTTCAATTGGTTCTTTCCCATCTGATTATCTAGGAATTCCTCTTAGAGCTAGGAGAAATTTGACAGTTTGTGGGAACCAGTGGTAAGAAGATTTCAATCAAAACTAGCTGGATAGAAAGCTGCGACTAGAACAATGCTTGTAAAGTCGGTGTTGTGTTATCTTCCTATTTATTTTTTATCCATATTTAGAATTCGTGCTTCGGTTTTGAAAGTTCTAAACTCTATTATGGCAAGATTTTTGTGGGGAGGATCGGGGGAGAGAAAAAAGGTGCATTAGGTACAATGGTCTTCTATGTGTTTGCCTAAGGGTCGTGGAGGGCTGGGGATCCCTAATTTACAGATGGTGAATAGAGCTTTATTAGGTAAATGGATATGGAAATTTTCTTCTTAAAAGGATACATGATGGAAACGGTTGATTTGTTTGAAGGGATGGTTCGAGGTACTGGGGGTTGAACAACATTGGAGTCGGATGGGTTGGAGTGGTCTTATTCCTCCGAGGGTGGAATCTTTCATTTGACAGGTTATGTCAAAAAGGATGGCTATGAAGTGTGAGTTGGTGAATAGGAAGGTTCCAGGTATTGTGGATACATTGTGCCCGTTATGTGGGTTGTTTCCTGAATCGGTTTCGCATTTATTTTTTACCTGTAATGTTTCCTGGCTGTTGTGGTGTAGATTTTTAAGATTTTGGAATGTTCATACTTCTTTGCATTATGCCCCTAATGTTTTTATGCAAGCTTGGTAGGGGTTGATCACGAATTCTGAAATCTAGAGAGTTATTTCTGGTGTTGTTTTGTGGTTTATCTGGAAGTATAGAAATATGATTGTATTTGAGGGTGGGCAATTGGATCAGATTAAACTATTTTTCCTTGTTAAATATAGACAGGTGGCTTGGTTTATTGTTAAATTCAATAAGTGTTCGGGGTTCTTTGACTGCCTTATAAGGGATCCGTCTGTGACGGATAGTTGGGGCAAACATGACAGTAAGGTGGTTTCAAGAGCTATGTGGGTTCCTCCTCCTCAAGGATTTTTAAAATTAAATGTTGATGATGCTGTCACAGAGAATTAGATGAATGGGGGTATAGGAGGGATTATTAAATATGCAGGGGTTCTTTTTTTGCTTCATTCTCTGAGGCAATTGGGAAAGGGTCTCCTACAATTACTGAAATATTGGCTATTAAAAGGGGTTTGGATATTTTCTTTGGTTCCCAATGGAGTTACAAAGGAAGACTTATAGTTGAGTGTGATTGCCTTGTTGTGGTTAATTGGATTAAGAATTTGGGTGGTTGCCCGAAACAATTGTGTTTATTGTTGAATCAAATTTTAGAGATTTATAGGGATAAAGATGTGGTGATCAGACATATTTCAAGAGCGGCTAATTGGGAGGCGGATAAGTTGGCAAAAGAGGGCATTAAATGAGTGAGGTTGTGTGTAGGACTTATGTATTAGAGTTGGGGGTTTTGTATTGTTTGGTATATATTGGTTGTTATGTTCTGATGATGTCTAAGTTGTAATGTTTGTTGTTGCAATAAAATTATGAGACACTCTTTTCCTCATTCCAATGCTCGACGAAACTTACATATTTCGTTGAGTATGAAGAGGGTTTTTAATGAGGTCTCCCTATTTTATCAAAAAAAATAAAAGTTAAAACTTTGATATTCATGATTATATTATGGATGAGTCTAAAATACAATTGATTAATATAAGATTAAAAACGATAGAAACCAATTGTAATTAAAAATTTATCGAAAGTGTAATCTTTTAGAATAATCTAGGTAATATTTTAGATTAAAATCGAAAATATTATATTCTCTATAACAAATTATGTAAATTACATAACTATTTCAATTATAATTAAAAAACTATCATCAAAATATTTTTATTATAATAGAAAATATTATCAATTATATAACTTTTTAGATAAACATATAATATTTTAGGTTTAAACTGTCACAATGTAACATTCTCAATTATAATTAAAATTATTATCAATTATATAATTTTTAACTTAAAAAATATAAATTAAAAGTTAACATAAATTAATCTTCGATTGCCTCACAACATAACTATTTTTTTATTATATATAATCAATTTAGCGATTAGTCATCCAGCACTGGCACACAAACACAAGGCTGATTCTAGAAACCGGGCATCCATTCTTGTGGTCTCTCTACCATTTTCTCTCCTGTTCCAATTTCTCTCTAGTCTCAATAGATTCTTTGAATGTAGGCCGTAAACCATCAGTTTTTCTCCTTTCTCTTTGCCAATGGAATCTTTTCTCGGAGACTTGCCGTCGTTTGACCCCCACAACTTCAGCCAACTTCGTCCCTCCGGTCATTCTGATCCTTCTGTAAGTATCCCCATTTCTGGGTTTGATTTGAATCAGTTGCTTGTTTCAGCTCTCCTATTGCTTCAGTAAATCCGCTTATGCAATTTACATGAGTAGTGAAATATTGTTACATTCTTATGCGTAGGTTTCTGGGTTTACCCAGATATGATTTTAGTGGGTTTCCTAATCAAATTCATTTTTTCTGAATTTGGACCTTAATGTTGTAGTCTATATAATCGTTTAGTTTTCAGAAGCTTGTTTTTGGATGAAGTTGTTCGTCATTACAAATGAATATATATTTGCTTCCTGAATTGAAGAGTATAAATTATTCATTGAATTCCAACTCTGGTATTGTCACAATGTAGCTGATTTGATGTTTTGCATTGTAAAATACGCAATGGAATGTAATATGATGAATGATGATAACTCGAAGCATCTAAGTAATGCTAATACTTGCTATAATCTGTTTGATAAAATGACAAATAGCTTTATACAACACAAGCATTAGTCTTGAAATGCTTTCTTAAGCGGAGCTCCCTTAAAATGGTTGGAAACCGTTCTTCCTCAGCTTGAGATTTTGTCCAATGCATGTAAATATAATCTTCACAAGTTCTCCAGATCTGCTTTTGTACTCGGTAGTTTTAGCTCTTAGTACTCGTTCTTGTTAGTGGTTACAGAATTCTATGTTTTAGCTAAAACGGTAGATGAGAGTTTAATTGTGGGTATACCTAAGTGAGACTTGTATACATATATGTATTTGTTTCCAATAGTATACGATGGTTCCTTGGTTAATTGTTATGACACCCGATTAAGCTCAAAGTAGTTGAAGGTATAGAGCAATTCTCACCTGCCATTCTATCCTTTTGACCTATTTCAACATTTGAGATGCTATGCCGTTGAATGGAGTTCATATAGAGCTCCTCTATGTTTTGAGTATAAGGAAATAGTCTTTTTTGCTTTCATAGGTTGGTATTTAACAGAATTACATTGAATTCCCTTGTACATTTAGACTTGAACGCTTTAGGAGCATAAAATGCTTCTCCTTATATTTCAGTCATGTTAAGAATTGATTGCACCTTTTATATTCTAACAATCTCTTTTTGGCTAGAAACCGACGCCTGTCACCTACCGTCCCACTCATAACCGGACTCTTCCACCACCTGATCAAGGTATTGAACATTTATTTATTCCTCGTTTTTACTTGTGAAACAATATTTCTTTAAGTAAAAGTGAGATATTCTTGGCACTTTATATTATCTGGTAACTACGTGGCAACCTTTGGTTAGTGTTTTTTTATGGCTTCATAATGGATGTCATATACTGACAATTGGGCTTTTAATAAATGGTTATGATTGAGAAATCGGTTTTTATGCTGGAAACTACTTGTTACATACTTTATTATCTTCCTCTGAAGTTGTGGAGTTGATTTAACCTTTTCTCTTTAGTTATTTGTTTCCCTCTTCTGTAATCTAAATGTCAGATCACTTCCCTAGAATTGTCCATCCTCAGTTTTGTTTGAATATCGACAATGAAAGAAGATTTCTAATCAGAATAAAACAAATGAACAAATGTATCGCTTTAATCATTTAAATTGTTGTCTGAAGTTTATCAATTGGAATGAAAATATTGAGGATTTAATTTCTGTGTTCTGAACTGTCTTAGCTTCAAATATAAAGGGACCACTTCAAATTGCATCCTGGTGCAGAGTTACACAGCTCATCCACTTAAACTCAATTTTTATCATGAATAGTTATTTAATCCTCCTGTGAACATTTTCTTTATTTGTGACTGACCTCTCAAACACTTCTAACAATTATAACCCCCTTTTTTTCTTCTATTCTAACAGTTATAACTACTGAGGCCAAAAATATCCTTATTAGAAATTTCTATCAGAACGCTGAGGAGAAGGTTTGTAGCTCATTTTTATGATTTTTCATGTTACAAGACTATCAAAATAATTTCTAAGTCACATATTCATGGACATATGCATATAATTTTAGAGTAGGTGTGGTTATTCCATGCAGTCTCTTACTGCTTTTCCATTGCAGTTGAGACTGAAGAGGGCTGCCACTGAACAGCTAATACCAGAACATGGATGCAAGCAAGTTAAGGCTTCTACCTCCTATTCCTAATGAGATTTTCTTTTGTTTATTTGGCGCTCATGTAAATGTACCTTCTCGTATCAAATGTCTGTTATAGAAACTGTAGAGCGGCTTATTCATTGTTGTAAACCAGGATGCCATACTTGTTCGTTTTGTGTTCACAAATCAAACTTGTAGTTGGCTTATCACCGTATCATGTATAGCTTTATACATCCTTTTCTTTGTATTCATTCCATGTCACATGGCTGAAATCGAACTTGGGGCTCCTGGAGCTGCATTATTTTACTGAAATCATATGCATTTGTGTTGCCTGGTTTGCTGAACCCAGATGTCAAATGAAAGACCAAGTCTACTAATTGGAAGCATTTATTAGACTGTCTTACATGCATTAACAAAGCATATGAATAGCTCTAATCTGCTGTGTGGAGGAGTGGAGAAGTACAAGTGACACTGCTTCAGTGGAGCTACGGGTGTCAATGTGATGAACTGCTGCTCGTATAACATTCGTTTATTAAGTTAGAAAAAAATTATGTTAATTTAATAAACAAACGAATATGAATAGTGATGTGTTCGGTTCGTTTATGTTCATAAACAAATTCATTTGGAAGCTTGTTTATTCAGTTCTTTTTTTTTCTTTTGTTTTTTTTTTCATTTTAAATATTGGCGAAGGTAGGGACTAAACTGATCATATGGTGAACTTTGGAGTTCAAACTGTGAAACTTAAAGACTAGTGATGTAGTTTCATCATTTTGGCGAATATGTTCTTGAACGATAAATGAATATGTCTGCGAACATATTCATGAACTTTAAACATATCGAACATAATCACCTTCAAAAACAAACAAACATTAATATAACCTTGTTTGTTGAAGTCGGATTCATGTAAGTGGAGCAAAGCCTTGGTGCTTTGACTCTTACAGTGACCTCCTAATTACAATGCAATGAACCCTGTTCTTTCTTTGGTACAAATACAATGAACCTAACAAGCAACGGATATTTCTTCAAAAAGCTTAATTTGTTTATGGTTGAAAATGGGATTAAGTTGTTATATTGGACTGTGATGAATAGTATGGTATACGCATGTACATAACTGAAGAAAACTTTACATATATTCTTATATTCTATCTAGCATGCGAAGTGCTTGTACATGTAATTTGCACATTACAATCGTGATTTTTGACTTGAAAATTCATGCTTTTAAGAGCAGTGTATTGAGGAATTCTGAAAAAACTGAGACGCTTTGTTTTTCGACTACTTCACCAACCACAATGCAATGAACCTTTCTTCAAAGCAGACCTATCTTATGTTTGTGATTGGAAATCGAATCAACCTTTGTCATGGACCAAACTATGGATTTGTATGTGTGTGCAGGGAAATCCTGTATCATACCTGACGTCCAAAGTGATGCTATATGCTGATGTCAATCTGGGCTGTATTGGCATGCTATGTTACATCTTATGCTATTTGTTACATGGTTCTGCTAGTTCTTCAATCACTTAATGGGTGTATGTTTAGAAAATTATATTTGAACACATTTAAAAAAAATGAAAATCATATAAATAATGTGAGATTTGAGAATATCATGATAAAAATGTGTTGATTTTAAGCTTTTAAAGACAATTTTTAAACTTGATCATATTCGTATCAGTGCGACATTCAAAGACAGTTGAACTTGCCAATAGAAATCTCATCAGAAAAATCTATGAACCGAGATTCATCGACGAATGATTTTCCATTCAATCCAGAAGGAGTAAACCACAAATCGTTGATCAATCTCCTTCACTAGTAACTCATAAACGTCATGTTGAACATCAACAAAGACCAGAACTAGGCCCATCCAAGGAGGTTATCATCCCGGCTGCTCGGAAAGCACCATTTATTGGTCAATCTTAAGGCAAAGACTCATGAGTGAAGGTGACAGCCTTGGTGAAAATCCAAGTAACATAATGCGGTCCTGCAGATGAGCTAGAGAATAATTCCATGCCCCCAGCATCCTTCAACTTAAATGTATTTGATTGGACCAGCAACCAGAAGAAGGATGGTAAAAGATTTGACGGCCAACAGTAGATTCCAAATTGGTCAATAGTCCTATGAAGTTTTCCTTAATACTTATGTTATGTTCCAAAATGTTCGATTCCTTTCTTCTTACTTTGCGCCGCATCAAAAGTGACCATGGGCTGCCCTCACGTGTTCAACCCTAGTGTTCCCTTGTTTGAATTTTGAACCATTAAACTCTCCACTCCTCAAACTTATGCTTCGACCATTTCAAACCTCCATTAGCAGCAACCAAAGGGTTTGACTTCATAAAGATAGTAAATAACAATTAAATAAAATAATGTGTTGGTTACTCAAGACATACAACAGCTTAGACTCCTGAACCTGTCAAAGTGTATGTCGGCCTCTCTAATTTCCCTAAAACACTCAACAAAGGGTCATACCAGATAAGTTGATTGAGATCTGTTACTAGATTCAGCCACACGTACAAGTCGTGCAATAAAATATTTAAATTTTATGATAATTTGAAATATTCGCCAGTCTCTTCCAACCATCCCTGCTCCCGTATGTCGGTAGGCATTGAAAAAAGTTAGCAATGAATGTGGTATGGGATCATCACATGGGATGGCTTTGGCTTAGTTCACTTTAAGACACAAATGTAGTAACACTCGGTAATGAATAATGATACCGTGTGTGTGAGTTTCCTTATTTAGAAGCACTGATTCCATTATTGTTGCCGAACAGGAAGATTTGTGATGGAAAATGTTTTAAATTCTATAAATGATTTTTTTATTTAATTTTCTAAAATCCTATCAGCAAACATGAGTTGGAAAAAAAAGGCAAATAGGAAAGATTTACCCAATCCAAAACTGCTGTGAAAGATGTGTGTCGTTACTCCTGCACGGAACCTTCTGAGATGGAGCCATCATGGACTTGTATGGATTATCTGACACTATATATACCTTGGCTTCGCCCCAATTCCCCAGCAGGCAAACAAGAAGATCCATAATTCCTCGAGCATTTCAACACACTCACCAAAGCTAACCTATTCTTTTTGTTTGTTTTTTCTTTCAATCATTTGTAAACTACCTGTTGTCATCTTCCAGGTTAATCTGTTCTTTCTCTGTAAACTACACCAAAGCTCGTTTAGGCTCTTTATAGTCTAAAGAAAGAATGGTGGCCATATCCAAGATTGCAACCGGCAATGGTCATGGTGAAAACTCTCCTTATTTTGATGGATGGAAGGCTTACGAGACCAACCCTTTTCACCCCACGGAAAGACCTGATGGGGTCATTCAGATGGGTCTAGCTGAGAATCAGGTAAACTATTTTTGAAACCCCCTCCTGAATTTTGTGCTAACATGGCTGCTGTCTATGAAGAAACTAATGGTGTTTTTTATTTTTGTTGCTGTTTAACCTCTTCAGCTTTGCTTTAACTTCAAAAAGTGGATAATGCAACACCCAGAAGCCTCCCTCTGCAGTGCTGAAGGTGTTAACAAATTCAAGGAGACGGCTCTTTTCCAGGACTATCATGGGATGCCTGAGTTCAGACAGGCTGTTGCAAAATTTATGGGGAAAGTGAGGGGAGATAGAGTAAAATTTGACCCAGACCGGATTGTTATGAGTGGTGGGGCAACCGGAGCTCATGAGATGGTTGCCTTTTGCTTGGCTGATCCTGGTGAAGCATTTCTGGTTCCCACTCCTTATTATCCAGGGTAATTAATCGATTTTTGGCATTTTTTCTCAAGTTTTTCTTTCTGGGGTTTTCCTTTAGATTATGTTTTTGACTAGAAAATGGAAATCAGAGATAAATTTGCCATTGATTTGCAGATTTGACCGTGACTTGAGGTGGAGAACAGGGGTTGAACTTGTTCCGGTCTTTTGTGAGAGTTCGAACAATTTCAAGATCACTAGGAATGCCTTGGAAATTGCATATGAAAAGGCAAAAGAAGCTAACCTGAGAGTCAAGGGTTTACTCATAACCAATCCATCAAATCCCTTGGGAACCATCTTGGATCGAGAGACATTAAAGAGTGTTGTGAAGTTCATAAATGAAAAGAATATACACTTGATTGGTGATGAGATATATGCTGCCACAGTTTTCATGGAGCCCGAGTTCGTTAGTATTTCAGAGATTATTGAGGAAGTCGAGTGTAATCGTGATCTAATCCACATTGTGTATAGTCTTTCCAAGGACATGGGGTTCCCTGGTTTCAGAGTCGGCATTGTGTACTCGTACAATGATGCAGTGGTGAGCTGTGCTCGGAAAATGTCCAGCTTCGGTCTGGTTTCCTCACAAACGCAGCATTTAATCGTGTCGATGCTATCTGATGACGATTTTGTTGATAGTTTTATTGTGGAAAGCAAAGAGCAATTATTCAAAAGGCACAAGTATTTCACTTGGAGTCTTTCTCAAGTCGGTATTGGTTCTTTGAAGAGCAATGCCGGGCTGTTCATATGGATGGATCTGCGTAAACTCCTGAAAGAGAAGACATTCGAAGCCGAAATGGATCTGTGGAAGGTGATAATCAACGAAGTTAAGCTCAACGTTTCCCCCGGTTCTTCTTTCCATTGCAATGAGCCTGGTTGGTTCAGGGTATGCTTTGCTAACATGGATGACCACACCATGGAAGTTGCTTTGTTGAGAATCAGAACCTTCATGTTTAAGCAGAATGAGGCCATGGTTCCACGTAAACTATGCACACGAAGCAGCCTTAAACTCAGCTTTTCTCGAAGAAGGGATGATTTCATGTCACCAAGCATCATGTCACCTCACTCACCCTTACCTCAATCGCCACTCGTCCTAGCCAGGACTTAAGCAGGATCAACTCAGATTTTTCACCATATTATACAGCATCTAAATGAAACCTTTCAACAATTGTATTTTTTAGGGTCTTTTCCCGCGTGCAAAAATGCGAGGGGAAAGCTCAACACTGGTGGCACTGCTCATGCACACATATACTATTCTTGCTTACTTTTCTATTGTTTATATGAAATACTAAGAAAAAATAAATGTCGAGTTGCGAATTTATAAGGGTGATGGAATTTGCTTTGTTCCAAGATTTTATTACATGGCGGTACTAATGTGCAGAGACATACTTTTCGAGGTGAGTTTCCGACTTGCAACTAAGCTTTCTGCTCAACTAGTAAAGAGCCTCTGTCGATTTCTACTGCCTCCTCGACTGAAGTCGCTTTTTGGAGCACGACTTTTTCAATGGAAGGCTGGTTCCTTGCAAGTTCCGGAAGGAGTTTAAATTCCTACAACATGAACAAAACAGTGTGAGCTTTACAGCCTTGACAGCAAAGTCTATTATTAGTTATAACATAGATTAAATGCCAAGAGGGAATATTATATTGACATCATCATCTAAAAGTGTCCCATGACCACAAATGCCTTGAGAGCACCATCTGTCACTGAAAGTTGATCCGACATGCAGCGCAGTGCATCTCCTACAATCTATTTTAACAATCAACTATGTTCTAATTTCATACATGTGAACTCAAAACTGAAATCTATAATTAGCTTCCTTTGTCCATATATTATTGTTTTTGTGTCGAAAAGACTGACTTAGATCATGCGAAATCTATCTTGTAAAGGAAACTACCTCAGCACTTCAACTTTCAAGAACTCCTTTCAATTTACCTGTAAAGTCATGAAGAATAAGTTTAATCTTTCTTGGTCAAAAGTGTAATATAAAATGGAGAAAGAGAGAGGACTCTAATCTATCCAGAAAGTAGCAATTTTGGGATCAAAATTTCCAATCTCAACTCTCTCCAACTGTCCAAAAGGATTATACTTGAAAAGTGAGATAACATACATTTACGTGTACTGTTTCAAATGCAAAGTAAAATATATTCTCAACATTGTCCCCAAAAAATTGCCACCAAACTTTCCTGGGGCTCCCTTCATACTCCAAAACTGAGTACAAGTATGGCAGGTAATCATATCTGGAAAACGTAAACAGGTAATGATGCAAGTCATCAACTTTTCAGAATGAAAGAGCAGGCACTGAATGCATCTAACATCATAGAGATTCGGCTTGAGGAAGAAAAGGGATCACTCAGTAATGCCTTGACACAATGCTGGGTAGATCGAGGAGCATGATCAACATGCTCAACTCATGCCATGCGATCATACATCTGTCATGGTAAAATGTGTACTTATAGATCTTGAAAGGAAAAATGACTAATGATTTGAAAATATTTTACCTTAAGGCGGAATGCTGCAACATCTCCCACTGCAAAGATTCCAGGTATGCTTGTCCGGAACAGACCATCAACCTGGTTCATGTTCAGCATCAATCGTCATCTCTACATACTCCACTAGAAGCAATCGGAATCTCAACAATGATTATAAAATGGCATGAAAAAAATGCAGGTGGTCTAGTTGTCTACTTAACAATAAACAATGGAAAATGTCAAAAACATGAAAGAATTTCATCAAAGGTTGAAACTGCTGAATATTAAAGATAAAAGGAGACCCAGATTCAGTACATTCCACCTTCTCTTTAGAGTTTAGAACTGAACAATCTTCAAACAGCTGTTGCTCTATCTAGTATTCTCCATCGGGCAAACTTGTATCAGGTTTGTTTTCTTATGTTCATATGGTTCCCACTGTGAATCAGGTAACTGGAACTCAGAGTACAAGGAAAACAGATTGCCTAAGACAATTCTCCTTTGTAAGCATTCTTTAAGTGATTTGCACACACATTTTTTTTTCAGTTCCCAATTCAAATCCCCCCTTATAACTTGGCTATCTAAAGGAGAATTCGAAGAAGGAATCCAAACCTTCAAGAAAATATGCATGTTTCACATTCCAAACTTGACCAGGAAAGCTAAAACAAAGCTCAGGCAAAGTGAGGAACTCTCAGTTGAATACAAAAATGTTTATAAATGGTTTTGAGTATTTACATTTGCCTCAAAGCTTCTGTACTCAAATCAAACAACAGTTGACACATTAAACAAAGGGCCAAAGCTAAAAAAACAAACTCTACACTTCACAAAGTAAATGCTTGCTTCACCACAACCATAGTACTTGAAGCCTATGTTAAATTAAAAGAAAAAAAATAAAAGAACCCTTGAGGCCCTGCTTCGGACCAAAAGACCAACTCACAAAAATGGTTGACATAGTTACACGACCGGCGCAGATGATTTGGCACCTTGGTCCAACACATCAAGAATCTCAGTTCTGCTTCTTACCAGCCTATGAAACACTTCCCTGATCAGCATCTGCAAAGGCACCAACCCTTCTTCCATTCTCCGACAAACCTTGGCCAGCTCCGCAACTTGTTTAGCCGCTTCCTCCACTTTATCTGTCTCTCCGGGGTACTGAAACGAATCCGTAAACTCTATCAAACTCTGCCCCAGCTTCTCCATTTTTTGCATCTCGAATAACAACCCAGCCATCCCTTTCTTCTCCTTCTTCTTCCACTCATCACCAATTTTTTCAAGTAAACTGGTCAGAGTATGGGTCCAATTCACGTTCTTAGGAATGGGAAGATGAGTTGTCAAACCATTCCTCTCTTGACAAGGTATGGCAACAATCAATACCCACATGACAAAAATCATAATCAAGTTCATTATGAAAACCAGGGAGGGCAAACCGGAAGCCTCCGGTCCACGTGGAGGAACTACGTTCATAGTCATGGCGTGAATCTGTTTGGCGGCAGACCAGTGCTTAGCCACCTGCCAAGAAAGTGACTTGTAATGCCCAAATGGCGTTCGATCTTTATTACCACCTCGGCGGCCAAACGACCAATTCCTCTCCGCCGTTTTATGAGCGCTGCCTTCTTTATCGTCGAGGTGCATTGCTGAAATTAACGAAACCAAAGCCTTCTTTGCTCTCCTCGCTTGTCCTTCACCAAAGGTTTTTTGTTCCAAAGCCAAAACAGCAATCTCAGCCAGTTTCTGGCAATGCCTAACCAACTCCAACCCATTGGCGATCGCATTACAAATGTCTAAAGCCTTAACGACACGGTCGAGAAGTTCAGGGATCAAGCGGTCGAGAGGGGGTTTGGAGATCTGAGCCGCATCACGACCCATCAAGAGAATAGTCTTGCATTCGGCTTCGCAGCCAAGGAACACATCGAGGAGCTTGCGTATCCAGGAAATAGAGAGAAAGGCATCTAAGGGGGCGTCATCAGGGGCGGATAAGATCTCGGCGAAGCGATCGGAGACTTGCTTCTGGAAGAGGTCTAGGTCTTCAATCTCTTGCTCGTGGGAACCATCCATGGCGTTGACCTGGTTCCGCCTGATGCTGATTCGTCCCAAGAAGGAATTTTGGTTATCGGTTCCCGTCATTTGTGATGGAAGATTTCCGGGAAATACTTGGAGAGAAATGAAAGGATGGGTGTGCTAGGAAAGAATAAGAAGGAGGGTTAGATAGTTAAATAACGGGAGCGAAATTTATGGGAGTGGTATTGTCGGGGACAACGACCCGTTCCTTCCTTCCTTCTTTGGTAAGCTGACTTGGCAGTTGGCACTCCTCAGGTTTTCTTTATTTTTGTTTCCCACGTTTAGAATAATCCTATATTTTAAAATTATATAATAAAATAATTTAATTGAAATTTAAAAAATATATTTTCCAAAAAAAATTAATTCCAATGATAATTATTTATTAATTAATAAATAATAAATTACTATTTTAAAGGTCTGTTATAAAGTTTTAAATGTAATTCATTTTGATTTATTCTTTGGTTTTTTATGTACTTTAAAAATAATTATATTTATAAAAATATCCCTACATTTATATAAATGTCCACTTCGTCTCGTATTTTTTGTTTTAGTACTTTGTCTCAACGTTTTTTTTGTCAAAACAGACCATGTTAGATGACAATTGTTAATTATCTAACAATCAATTTATGTTACTGGGTGTCATTTTTATTAGTGTCCATTCGATGATGTAGCTTGTGTCATATCATTCAAACGTCACTAAAAATAATAGTGTGGCGTATGTCATATCATCAAAAATGATAGTGTGTCATGTATCACATCAGCAATTAGACATATGTAAAAATGTCACATCAATAACATGCGTTAATTGTTAGTCAACTAACGATTTACATCTAATATGGTTTGTTTTGATCAAAAAATTGAAATGCTAGGGAATAAAATGTTTTAAAAAAATAAGGTGCAAAGTAATTATTTATGCAAATGTTGAGATAATTCTATCATTATGACTAAAAAATAAAATATAGATTCTTAATATACTATATAGAATCAACCAGACATTTTCAAATATACTTGAAAGTATATTATCAGTTTGGTGTTTGAATGAAAATAAAGAAAAATTATGTTGAATTTTGATTCAAACCCAAGTATTCAAAAAAAAAAAAAATCATCCAACGCCTAACGAGTACACTCACTTATAACATTTGTTTAATTGTATTTATTGACAATATTTGTATTTTAGGTTGGATTTAGAACTGGAAAATTTTAAGTTAAGATGTAGTTCAAATGCTTAAAACACCACTAAATAATGAAATAGAAAAATATTAAATAAAAAAATAAGGAAATAATTTATTGTATAGTTAGAAAACAAACTAGTTAAATATACTATTTTTTTTATAATTTTAAGTTTTTAATTGAATTTATGTTTGCCAAGTGGATGTTGAGATTATTATAATCAACGTGAAAATTTAAGAAAAAATATCTAAATATTCGTTTTAAATCTATTTAAAAGTAAATGTTTATGAACTATTGTTTTCAACATGTAATACGAAGAATAAGAGATTTTGAAATTGTGTAAACATTCAAATTATTGGTGAATTTAGTTCACTTTTAGGTAGACTTAAAACAAATAGATAATTTTTTTCTAATTTTTTATATCCCAACACCCATTTAACAAACATAAATTCAATTAAAAAACAAAATAGTATATATAATTAATTTTTTAATTGTAAGATAAATAATTTACTTGTTTTATTTAATTATCTTTTTACCCAATATTTTTCTATTTTTATGATTCAATAGTGTTTTAAATATTTAAACTATAAATTAACCTATAAAATTTTGATTCTAAATTTGAGCTAAAATACAAATATTGTAAATAATTAATCAAACGGAGTAAGTGGGATGCATGGGCTGAACTACATTTGTTACGACACCTTAAATTTTTTTGGAAAATGTTTTTTTATTTTTTTATAAATTTATATTAAAAGTATTTAAAATAAATTTGATAATGTTTTAAAAGAATATTAGTATCACTTTAAAAATAATTGATATCCTTGAAAAAAAAAATTGGCACACATTGTTAGTCTACATCTACTTAAAATTATTTATATTTTTTAAATTATAATATGACAAAATTTTATTGCTTCGTTTTCCAATAGGTCTAAGATGATTTTTCTAATAGTCTGATACCATAATAAAAATAAAATTTATATTGAGTGATTAAAATAAAATCAAAATATAATTTTAATGGTCAATTTTTAAATTTGAATGATCGATTGTATATTTTATCCTAAAATTACATTGAATTGTTATTTTTAATAATTTTAAAAATACATTTATTATACTGATTGTTTTTACATACATCTCTTTGATCAATAGCTAATGTAAATTACTATTATAGGTTGAAATTTTAAAAAAGATAAATTACGCGTTTAATATCTAAACTAGTAGTTATGGTCCATTTTAGTACCTAAATTTTTTATTTTTTTCAAAATCATACCTAATGTTTAGTTTTTGTTTCATTTTAGTACTATGTTAAAAACTTGACGTTAAGTTTTGGAAATTTTTTTGAAAGTTTAGGTATTAAAACGGACCAAAAATAAACTAACGTAAATTACTATTATTGTTAAAATTGTCACACTAAAAATATATTAAGAGAGAGAGAGAGAGAATTTGTCGTCGCATAGAATCATTGACGAATACATGAGTAATTTGCAAGTAAAACAAGTAAAGTTTAGTCTCACTCAGTCCATTGCTAGTTTGAATTTTAAAACCTCTATGCATTATTATGATTACTTAAACCATTTTTTTACTATTCCTTGTTTGAAAATCATCATAAGGTAAATTTAAATTATAAAATTATCTTTCAAAAGGATTGTAAAACTTACTATAAAATACTACCATTAAATAATTTATATAAAATATAATTTTAAAATTCTTAACTTATAATATCATATTTTATTAAAATAAGATAAAGAACACAAATAGTCTCCCGATTATTAAAAATTAAAAAAATAGTCCTCCTACTATAGGACGTTGATTTATTGAGTTCCTAGATTGTTAAAAGTTACAAAATAGTCACTCAACTATTCATATATTCTAAAGTCGTCCTTTTTCGTTAAAATTTTGATGATAATTTGAGCCAAACGTTAACCTGTTGTCTGAGATATGATAATCGTTTAAAATTTTTTGGATTAGATTTTATCACAGCACGATCAGCAGGGTAACATTCATATCAAACTATCGTTAATTTTTAATAGTAAATGATGAGTTTGGAATATATGAACAATCGAGTGACTATTTTGTAACTTTTAATAGTCTGAGACTCAACAAAGTAATATTCCATAATCAAAAAATCATTTCATAATTTTTGAATGACTCAATAAATCAACACACACATAATTGAACGATGATCATTTGTGTAGTTTATCCGTTAAAATTAACGTTACACGTGGAGCAGAAAGTTATGTTGGTTATGGGTTGCCGTTAGACAAGAAAGATAACCGTCAACGATATCAGTTATTCACTCACTCCAATAATATTTTAACTTTCAAGGAAAGAGCCTTTAACGGCTTAAATTATGTTGTGTTGTCGGTTATTTAGAAGTTAGTGAAATCACCACTCATGAGGACCATGACCTTGACCAAACACACACCATGGTCGGTTTAGAAACGTGTTTTCTCATGGAATCTTAGGCCCTCTTAATTATTGTTTATCTAAAATATTTTTGGGTAAAAAATATCTTAATAATAATTAATATTAAATAAAATGATAGTTCTAGTAATGTTCTCTGAGGGTTATTGAACTTGGATGGCAATGAATAAAGTTTAAAGTACCAAATACTATTTTGTAGGTTTGTAATTTGAATAAGATACAATTAAGGATGAATATAGATTAGATTAGGTTTCAATTTACTTAAATACAATTCACATATTATATTTTTCCACTCGTTATTTAAATTAGGTTTAAGGAGGTTATGTCAATTTAGATCTCGACTCTAGAACTCACATCCGAACTGGGTTTAAAGAGGCTTCATTCGACCCAAAATTTGACCTAATTTTTAGAGGAATAAACTTGTACCCTAAATATTTAAGGAAAAATTATATTATTATCTGAAGTCGAGTTAAATATTTTCATCCTAAATCTAAATATAATCTCTTACTTAAAAAAATACGACTCTATCCTAACTGAACCTTAAAAAAAACCGACTCACAAAATTAAATCAAATAAAAAGTTATAAGATTCATGTCAAATGCCTATCATTAGATGCATTCATCAGGGCAAGAGATAGTAATAGTCCAATACAACATGAAATACCCAATCATAATGTTATTCAACAAGATGGGCCTAAATCCAGCATTCAAGCTGCAAACAAGAGACCTTGAGAGTCCTCTGAAGTCAAAATGCAACAGGCTCTCCATAATCTCTTGGGTTTATAGTCCAAAAAGAAATGGAAAAAAAAAATGAAAAGTAGATCAAAATCCTGTCTTCCACATGAAGCGTCGAGTGTTGGAAACCATGACCAATTGTGCAGCTGAGTTGGCACCATGCTGCCTTCCCAGCAAGCGTCCCGTGATCAGCACAACCACCACATCGGAAAAGCAGTTGGCTAAGGGAATACTTAGCACCGTCTCGCATGGCTGATGTTAAAAGATACCACATGTTAGGGGATGGATTACTTCATTTTTCACTTTTGAAAAATCTCCTTCCATTTCACGGATTTCGACCCATCAAACTTCGATCATATCAAACAAACCAAAGCTCTCCTTCCCTGAGTTTCACCAAAAAAAAACTTAGGAATCTAACATTTTTTTTTTGCAGTGTAGAGAAACATTACAACTACTAAAAAAACCCAAAATCGCCAACAATGATTCTCCAAATATAAACAAACCTAGGAGTTTCTTTTTTTACGTTACTTAATAACTTGGTTTCGAGCTTAGCAGGTGAGGCAGATAAAAAAACACATAAAATGAAGAAGGAGATTGGGAGTACAAAGCAGTCAAGCTCCGAAGGAAGCAGCGTGAAGGGAGTACTGACTCATGGAGGGAAATATGTACACTACAATGTGTATGGTAACTTGTTTGAGGTGTCCAGTAAGTACGTGCCTCCTATTCGTCCTATCGGCAGAGGTGCTAATGGTATTGTTTGGTAAGTCTATTTTGTGCTGCTTTTTATGTTGTTGAAATATTTGATGTCTTCTTTCTTCTATATGGCGTTGTTTATCTTTCCTGGTTGATTCTTTTATTTTTTGTTTTCAGTGCTGCTGGTAATTCAGAGACGCGTCAGGAGGTTGCTATAAAGAAGATTGGTAATGCATTTGATAACATTGTAGATGCGAAAAGGACTTTGAGGGAGATCAAGCTTCTTCGTCACATGAACCACGAAAATGTAAGCTACACCTCTTTATAATTATTTCTACACTCTGCTATTAGGGATGCAAATAATTCGAGTTTAGACAAATAAGATTGTGTTTGTATCTATTTGTTTATTTTTTTAATGTGTTCATGTTCGTTTAAATTTTTAATAATATTCATATTCGTTTATTTATTTTTAGAACGATTTGTTTAGCGTTTTCTCGAATATGTTCATTCAACATTCACAAACATATTGTATCATCTTTTTACCCTTTATTTACAAGCCAAAAGAAAAATGGTAAAATTATGCCGCTAATCCTTAATTTCCTTATGTCTCATAGTTTGAACTCCAATGTTCATCTCATGTTCAATTTAGTCCATTCATCAATATTTAAAATATAAAAATATGATAGGAAAATAGAATCAGATAAACAAGCTTATAAATTACTCAATAAGGAAATGACCATCCAGCTCAGTTGGTAGAGCACAAGGTTCTTAACCTTGAGGTCGTGGGATCGAGTCCCATGGAGGGCATTTCATAATTTGGAGGTCTCCTACGGAAGCTGCTCTCAACCTAGTATTGGGGGCAGCCTACTATCTTACCTCCCCTTTACCCCATTACATATGGGAACAAGAAACATCCATCCATAAATTACTCAATAAATGAGTTTATAAACGACTCAATAAACTAACTTTTAAACAAGTTTCTTTGTGAACGTAAACAAACCGAACACACATCTATTCGTATTCATCTATTCGTATTTATTTGTTTATTAAATGAATATAAATTTTTTTCATACTTCTTTATTTAATTTAATAAATGAACATAAATGAATGTTATATAAATGGTTCACGAATCATACATGAAACGCTCTGTTCATCTAAACTGCTATTTGCAACTTTAGGATTTGGTTCAGTGTTAACAAGGCATCTAGTGTTCAATGTTTCTACGCCCTTTCTGTATCATTTCTTATATAAATGAGGCTATCTCTTGTGTTTCCACTTCTCTTTTCGCAGGTCATTGCCATCAAAGACATCATCCGACCACCGAAGAAGGAGACCTTCAACGATGTTTACATCGTTTATGAATTGATGGACACTGATCTTCATCACATAATCCGCTCCGACCAACCGTTGAGAGATGATCATTGTCAGGTTTGGATAAAGAGGCTATGGGAACTAGACATTTATGTTACTGATTTAACTTACTTTTACGAAATACTGCATATAACATGAATCTGATAATCATAGGAGAGGAACATCATGGGGTCAGGGGGGAGCCTTGGCCCCCGCCAATTAACTTTTTAAGTATTAATTAATATAAAAAATATATATTTTTAAAAAATAAATAAAGGAAAATTTACTCGACCTCCCTTACAAAAGTTGTATTTATGAAAAATAAAAAAATACTTTAACCCCTTTAATAAATTTCTAGTTCCGCCATGCTGATAATGAAACCTTCTGCAGTACTTTTTATATCAGCTGTTACGAGGGCTGAAGTATGTACATTCTGCCAACGTTTTGCACCGTGACCTTAAACCAAGCAGCCTGCTTTTGAATGCGAATTGCGACCTTAAGATCGCGGACTTCGGATTGGCAAGGACCACGTCCGAAACAGATTTCATGACCGAGTATGTCGTCACTCGTTTGTACCGGGCGCCGGAGTTGCTCCTTAATTGCTCGGAATACACTGCTGCAATTGATATGTGGTCTGTTGGTTGCATATTTGGAGAAATTATGACCAGAGAGCCCCTGTTTCCGGGCAAAGATTATGTTCATCAGCTGAAACTCATCACTGAGGTACTCAATTATTCTACCTACGGTCTGTCATTCTAGATATAAACCTCAGTTTGTTCATTTTTTAACGTTGAACATTATTTTTTTGTGTACAAAAGTTGATCGGTTCACCGGACGACGCCAGTCTCGGATTTCTCCGTAGCAACAACGCCCGAAGGTACTTCAGACAGCTTCCACAGTGCAGGAAGCAACAGTTTTCAGTTAGGTTCCCAAACATGTCTGCTGCAGCTGTTGATATGCTAGAAAGAATGCTTGTCTTTGACCCCAACAAACGAATTACAGGTACTAGCCAAGAAACTAGAATTTGTTTGGTCTCCCCATATCTGAGATTAATTATCTTCTTTTTGGCACATGCGTATGCAGTCGAGGAGGCACTTTGTCACCCTTACTTGGCATCTCTTCACGATACCAACGACGAGCCTGTCTGTCCTCGACCTTTCAGTTTCGATTTCGAGCAATCATCGTGCACTGAAGATCACATCAAAGAGCTTATATGGAGGGAGTCTGTGCAATTCAATCCAGATCCAGTTCATTAAGAGATTCTGCTATAGGATATTTATGTAAAAATGTATCGGGAATCGACTTCGTTCCCTGGAATTCCCTATATATACGTATGATGTTGTTGTTCATCATTCAACGGAGTTTATATAAATTAGGTTAATATCATTCAACTTTGCTTCTTTGTCACCTGAAGTGAAAAAATAATCTAAGAGGAGATGAAACATAACTTGTTTGTGAGATTTGGCACCCAAAGTGGTTGACATATAAGCACAATCAGATGTTAGTTTAGGCTAGAGCTGGATATATGGGCTAAGGTGGCTACCCGTTTAACCTGCGGCTCGTGCAGGCTTCGGGTCTAAAAAATTAAAGCTCGTTTAAATTGCGGGCTTTTTAGCCAGGGCCGTTAAACTCGCGGGTTTAATGAGTATAACCGCGGGTAGCCCGCGAAGCCCGCAATAGCCCGCTTAATTTAAAATTTATAAAATTTTAGAGAAAATAAACTTAACAAATTTTATAGAAAAAAAAATAAATTACCTATAAATATGATGTTACTTATAACCATTGTAGTTCTTAAATTTATTAGGGTGTTTGTCATAATTCTACCACTGCTTGATATTTGTTTTTCATTTACAATGTATCAAATTATTCTTCATTTAAAAAAATAAAAATTAAAAGATTTATATAGTATTTTAGTCTTATTAAATTTACATCATTATCACTTTGGTATTTAAATATTTTTTTATTATTTAATTTTGACCTTTATTTTTTCATGAAATATGTTATTCATTTCGTTCTTTAATTATAAAAAGTCACATGATATTCTAATAATATATCACATGACACGTAATATTTAGATTAAAAATAAGAAAGAAAAGTAAAAGAAAATATAGAAAACATACTTTTCAACTGTTTAAGACTTTTAAAGGATTTTACAAAATAAATATATTTTAACAAATTAATGACTTATATTTTTATCAATTTTAATATAATCATATCTTTCAAATATACTTTTATACCGTAAGTATTTTATTTTATATTTTCATATTAAGTTTTAGTATTTCTCTAAAGTATCTATAAAATACAATTATTAGGACCACTTGACAACTTTCTTGTTAGATTTGTATAATATTTGACTTTGTTGAATTTTTATGTTTAAATTTATGCTTGTAGACACTTCTGTGTCTTCATATCATAGCCTTGAATAATCGTGTTTTATAAAAGTATAATGTGGATATTGTTTTATTTGTTTTTCAATTTGGTGATATAAGTGAATATTGTTTTTTTTAATTTGAGTTTAAGTAATTATAGCGTTATATATATATATATTTAATGATTAAAAAAATTAAAAAATATATATATATTATTTTATAATCATTTCTGACTATTTAAAATAAAATTTAAATATTATTTATTATTTTGACGGTGCTACATTCCTTTTCAAGTTGCTGGATCATTTTTAAAGGTGTAGCAAGTTAGAACATTATTTTTTATTGCATTTAAAGAATTTAAAATTGTTGTTATTTAACGGGCCACAGATAAGCCCGTTTAGCCCGCGGGTTAAATGGACGGGCCGTGGGCCTTAAAATTCAAAATCATTTATGAATGCGAGTTTTTTAAACCATTCCATTTAAGCCCACACGATCAAAACCCACGAGCTAAACGTACGGATAGCTCGTATACCCATCTCTAGTTTATGCTCTATATGATGTACTGAGGTGAGTGGTCTCTCACTTTTCTTTGAACAAATCAAATCGTTTTTATTGAAGAAAAGTGGTTTAGATTCATGTATGTTTCCACATTGACCTTAAAAAAACTTGCAAATTGACAAGTGGGGAAGTGTTCAATTATTGCTTCCTAATGGCCACCATGAATTAATATTAAACAAAACCATCGTGCTTTTAATTTTTAACTGAGAGATAAAGAAAAAGGGGAGCACTGGCTAGTTTTTATATTAACAAATTATCAGAAAGAATCATCCGAAAAGGGGGAAAATCCCAGAATCCAAATTTGGATATATAGTTAATATATATAAACGACAAACTTCATTATTAATTGCTCAAAGTTTATATGACAAATTGATATCCACGGGTATACAAACTTGAAAACTCACCATACATTAACACTAAACCCTGGTAAATCCAACACTGATATGGGGAAACTAAACCCATTATTTAGCATACGTACTGCATATGTATTTGAACATGTAAGAAGAGAATAATTATTCCATCACTTGTCCCCAAACAGGTAACCCAGGGATGAATCTCCACCGGGAATTGATTTAACTTTTGTTGACGGCCGATCCTGCAATTTCACAACACTGTTAGTAATTACGTTAAAAGCTACACACACGCGCATGATGATGATGATGATGATGATAATAATAACTCACAGTGATGAAGTTCCTTGAATTCTGTCCTTTAGCCCTGTGATAGTTGTTGATTATAGTTTTCTCAGTCTGTTTCTCTGAACTTGGTTTATATTGTGACGGAGGGTTCTCTGGGGTAATGTCTACGCCATATGGGGGTTGGATCGGTGGTGTTACGGTCGGCGCACTTGGCTGCTCATCGGCACCAAAGAGGTAGCCCAAGGAACTTTGGCCTCCGCCGCAGCTCTCATCTCTACTCATGTTTTGGAGTAGTGCAAGATTCAGTTAACATGAAGTTTCAAATATGGGGAAAACGTTTATATAGAATGCGTTTAGTGCACTGTGTATGTACATGCATGTTATGACATATGCCTCATATTCATATACTTCCACGGCCATATCAAATAGCAGTAAATAGTTACAGAAAACAAACCATTGCAGATTGCAAAGTGTATTGGAAAAGGGTATCCTATGGATGCTTATCTTTGACCTAACGCGTATGTACATGTATGCGATTGAATTTTAGGAGAGAAGTAAATTTAAACAATGATTATCAGTTTAGCACGAGAATAACGAAGAATCTTTCGAGTCACATGAAAAAGTATAATTTCCATTTCATCAATTTGACGAATCAGTGTATTGAGATGTTCATTACATTCTTAAAAAAATAAAATTAAAGGATAAACAATAGTTCTCGACATGAATACTTAATAAATTCAAGAGGGACGAGGAGTGTGTTTTTAGAATGATTTAGAGGCTTAGTATTTATAATATTTTTACTTGCTAACAATAGAATAGATGGTTAAAAAAAATAAGATGGACAATTTTTAAATTTACTAAAAAATTATCTAACATCACTTTATGCATGTAAATTCAACCTTGTTTATCATTAATTTATGATTACTTAATGTAAAAATTGTTTTTGAAGATTTCAACGATAAATTTATATTGTATGGTGAAAAAGACGATTACAAGATAGTCCTGGATATATTCCCCTACCTATCCCACTCCAAGTCCAACCCTAAATTTTATAATGCAGAAACGTCAATATTTACAAAAGAATAACTACGCCCCAAGAACTGTCTCTCCGCATAAGAAGAAGAAGAAGAGACCAGTTGGTTAAGTGTTGAAATCATGCAGGCTCTAACAACAACTGAGACCAATAATTACGAGGGTTTTGTGGTACTTCTTAGATCAAAACTGTTGACAGGTAATCCTCGTTGGGACTGCTTAACCCACCGATCATGAGTCATTACTTTAATGCGTGGTTAGCCTCTGGCCCATTTGCCCGTCTTTGCAATTTACAGAGTCTAATCAACCAATCCAAATCAGCGTACTAAGGTGATGATACCTCACCTTAAAATTTTCGATCATTTCGGGTTTACCGTGATTGTGGCTGTCGCGGAGGCTATTGGGAGCTATTTATGGTGTATTGGGTAATTCGGACGGCGACGCTACCACTATTTTAGAGACGCTATCAAATTTTCAGAGTGTGATTTGTAACCTTTTCTCTTAAATTTTTTTTATATTTCGTACGTTTTTACATTTCTACTATAACTTCTTTACATGTGTTACATAAAATTGTGTTCATAGCTGTTCATAGGTATGAAGAATGCAGCTTTCAGGTGACAGCTAATTACTACGTGATTGCACCATTAATAAGCATGATTCTGAATTCATGCAGCAAGGGTTATAAACCAAGGCTGCTCGAACCTGTTTCAGTGCTCTGCATACAGACTGTTTCTTTCTGAAAGGTCAACCATTGGGGTTACCCAAAAGAGATGTATGTATGTATATAGGCATGAAGGCCATGTAGGGGTGGAGATACTTGATGATGAAGCTAGCTTACCTCCATCTGTAACCCATTTACTGGACATGTAGGGACACACTTAAAAGATCCTGAACCCTACCAACAATTTCAATGGATCCCCAAAGAAAAAATTAAGATGAACAAAGTTTTTTTATTATTATTAATTTTATTTTCAACTGCAAACAAGGGTCCAGGAATCTCATTCCCAGACGATTCAATAGGGTGGAAAAATAAGAATGATCAGTTGATCACCGTTTCACCATCAAGTCGGCTTATGGCATCCGAACAGGACCGACCGTGGAGAATAAAGGAGAAACATGGAAGGCCATACACAAAATCAGAGCCTTACAAAGAATAAAAATATTTTTGTGGCTCGCCTGCACCAACAGTAATGACGAATGCGGAACGAGTACGAAATACTTTTCCGTGGACGACAGATGTCCCATTTATTCGAAAGGCCCGGAGGATGTCAACCATGTGTTACGTTGGTGTCCTCAAACAATGGGAATCTGGACGTCACTTATCAAGCCCGATAAAATGGATGAGTTTCTCTCCATGGAGCTTCAAACATGGATATTTACTAACATTTTCAACCAGAGTCATTTTATGACCAATAACTAAGACTGGGACATTCTTTTCGGATCACAAAACAATAAGTTGAAATGGATAGCTTGGATGCTACACGGTTGCTTCCAAACAGGATCGTTCGAGAAGGAACACCTAGCATCATTCTTCACATCAAAGAGATGGAGAAGAAAGGATGGACAATTGGAAAGTGAGGCACAAGTACACTCCTCGAAATAAAAACCGGGTGGCCGACCTCTTGGCAAAATACGCGACTCCAGCTGACTTAGAAGTGCATTAGCTCTCTAATCCACCACCGGGTATTGCAATTTGCAAACCTGCTCCAGGAGGAAGAATCCTTTTGTAACTAAGCTGTAAAAGTTTTCTCGTTTACTAAAAATAATGTTTAATATAAAAATAAATGTTTAAATTATATTATTTTTCTCATTTAAGTATATAAATTATTTTTTTTTATCAATTCAGGTGTTTAAAATTACAAACGTTGTCGTTTAAGTATCTCAATTATAACTATCGTTAAAAAAATCCGTTAAGTGACACATGTCTGATAATTTTAAAATTTTATTTTAAAAAATAAAAATATTATTTTTAAAAAAATAAAATTTATAAGTTTTTCAAGAAAACCCTAACTTTTTCTACTTTTCACAAAATACCCCAAATCATAAAATCTCAAAATACTCCTAAAATCTCTAATTTTAAAGATCATTCGGCCGTTAGCCACTATCACCATCGACGATCACCCATCATCCGAGGGCGGCCACCATTGTAGCCAGGCAACCAACGAACAAACGCACACAACAAGGGATTTAGGGTTGATTTGCGCACAAGTAAGATTGATTTGCGCACAAGTAAGATTGATTAGCGCACCAATCAAATCAAATTTTGATTTGCAATTGTAAATTTGTAATCCACCGCACCAGCAAAGGGAAAATGCACCAACGCCGCCGAGATTTAGAAGGTAATTCGATTCTAATTTAGGGATTTAAGGTTTGGACTTAGAGACATCGGAGATTAAGACTATATCAAAAGAATGATTAGCCGACAATGGATGGATAGGCGACCGACAGAGACAGTAGCGGCAGGAGACGGCTGATAACAGAGTTATACTTTGGGATTAAGGATTTCAGGATTTTTTTAAGACTTTAGATAAAATTTCAGTGTTTCTTAAAAATATTTTTTACAGTTGAAAAAGAAATAATTTTTCAAGTTTTTATTTAATTTTTTTTAAATTACTATAACATGACACTTGTCACTTAACAAAAAAAAATTAATATTTTTACGATCGAGACATTTAAAATGATAACGTTTGTTACGTTAGACACCTGAATTAACTGAAAATAATTTAAGCACCTAAATAAAAAAATATATAGTTTAAACACTTATTTTTATATTAAACCTTTGTAGACCCGTCCTCATCCACAGCACTACACTCATATCCACGTGAAACTGCCAACCATCTTATGCCTACTTGTTGTTGTCATTACCACCCACTATTAGAGGATAAACTAAAAAAATCAAAGCATCATCACACTAACCAAGTTGCAAGATTTTAAAATATAAAATCAGTGTAAATTTGGTTATAAAAGAAAAGTTGAATGCATGTATCAAAGAGGGGAACAGAAACGAAGAGAAATAATTATAAGGGGAGTTCCTCTCGATTTTTTTATACAGATTTTCATCAATAAAAATACAACAGAAACATATTTTCAGCAACCCAAATCCAAAATCGAAAGCAAAAATCCGAAGGTATTCTGTTTATTTGTTTAATCTTTAGATTTCAACTAAAAAAATCTTGTCTAGTATAATTCTTGTTCTTGGTTTATATACAAGTTTTTACGGTTTTAAAAATATATATATATATATATGAGTTAGGGATTTATAATTACCTTGTTGCCGTGGTGTTTATCGGGTGGCGTTGTACTCGGACGTCACCGGAAGTCGAAAGGCCAACTTCTATGGCCGGTTGAAGCTTGTATGTTGACTTGGGGGTTGTTTGGATTATTTCTTCTCTAGTTTGAGTTGAGAAGAGAAAGAAGAAGAGTAAAAGGGTGTTAGGTTTCACGCATAATGGAATTGGGGGAAATAAAAGTGCTTTTATTTTGATTTCGGGTTAATCATACTTAGGGTCCTTTAATTTCTTGTCATATTTTATATTGGTCGCTTAAAGTGTTGATCTATTCATGTTTAAGCCATTCCAAATCTGTCGTATTTTTACAAATTGGCCACCAAATTCTTGTGTCTAATCATGTTTAGGTCCATCTAATATTATCTTATTTTTACATTCTAGTCACCAAAACTCTATGTTTTTATTTTATTTTATTTGTGGCGCTTTATTTTTGTTATTTTCAATTCGATCACCAATATATTATATTTTGTGATGATTTATGCCTGTAACTTTCATTTCCTTTATTATAGTCACTATTAACTTTTAATTTAGTCACTGTTGTTTTAATTTTTTGAATTTAGATCCTTGTTTATTTTTATTTAGTAACTATCTTATGTTTTCTTGCATTTTTAGTTAACATAATTAGGTTTTGGGTCCTTGTATTCATTTTAAATTAATTGTTGAGGCTCTTATTTGTTCATATATATTTATTAGATCCTTCTACTTTAATCCTTTAATTTTTTGTTTGTGTTATTTTAGTACTTTATTTTTTTATTTTTGCTATCTAATCCATTAAGTTTTTGTTTTTCTTGCCGCTCGTTCTTAAGATTAATTCGACCCATAAATTTTAATTATTTCCAATTTGATTTTTAATTTGATTTTTTTTTCATTCCTTTTATTTATTTTTTATTTCAATCTTAATACTAACTCTTTGTATTTGTTTGTTTTATTTTCTTACTTTATTTATGATTTTTTAGGATAATTTTAATCAATCAAAGGTAAGTAATTTGAATCGAATCT